ATAATTCATAATAACGACATGCTTTTTGATTTTTAAAAGCCATCATATTAAATATGGTAAGTCTTAAACTTAATATTTTCTTTGTTTCATACAATGATTATAAAGATTTAACGAGATTATCTTTCTAACTTTTTGAGGTTATATTTTTTGTGAAGAACACAGCTGCGTCAGCAATTATTATTATTCCGGCTTGATCAACGTTTACTCTTTCTACGAGTAGACCTGAAAGAAATTCTTTATTTTGTAAAAAACTGGTTAAATTTATCTCATTGAATTATATAGATCCATCTTGTGTAAATTTACTGAAATATTCTCGTATAGTAACATTCGTTTTATATCTATAAGCCAATGCGAAGCGATGTTCCTGATACACAAATGAGAAATACCCGTACATCTCCCCCATGAACCCACGATATTCATCATCATTTGTCACACCGCATTTGCATGCTAGAGCTACAAGTGTGCGAAAAGCTTCTTTATGCGAATCTATTGTTTGCGTGCCATGTTGCGAATGGATAAACTATGTCTCCTTCTACAGGAATGGTTTTGGTGGATTTGTGATTATTTTGGGTATTTGAATAAGAATTTTCAAATTAATGGCATTAATGTTTTAATTAATTTATGCATTGTTCTTCGCCAAAACTAGGACTTCATGGAAGTTTATTGGACATGATGGCCAATAAAAGGATAACTGGATACATTTTAGATATTTTTTCGCAATGTAGTTTTTTCACAAAAGATTTTCTGGAAAAATGGTTTTGGTATTTATTAGTGAAGGTAGTGGGGTATAGAGATTTAGAAGTATTAGAAAAATTGAAGCTGTATGTGATGGAGTTTGATATATACAACGATACTAAACGAATCGTTCTCTTGGTTATTTGATGGTAAGAACTTGTACAGTTCATCAAATTTCTAGAGGTGTTCGACGTCCAGACAGAGAACGCGCTACGTGTGACTAAGATAGCTATTGTACAGTCTGCTAAACAAGTTATTTTAAATAGTTTTTAATATTTTTAGGTAATTAAATTTTAAAAGTGTGGAATAGTTTAGGGATTAAATTGGTCTGATTGGACTTTCTTAGAACGTTTTTAAAAGCAGCTAAAGAAAGTATGTAGAATTGAAAATAATTATTATGCCATAAAAGGTGTTTTAGAATTCCTTCAACCTTTTGAAATTGAGTCAGAAAATATAAATTTTATAGGATAGCGGAAAATACCTATAATTTTTTTGTAGGCCTTTGTAAATCGTGGAAATAGTTTATATTTTATTTCTACCTTATTAAGGAAAATGGTACCTATTATTAATAACGGTTGTTTCTGAAACATTACTAAAATTTTCGAAATTTTGTTTTCCTACAAAATAATAAACTATACTATTTAGAAAAAAATTTATTTCTCTTATAATTTTATAAAAAATAACAGGGGAATATTTACATTTCTTGATCTATTAAACAAAACGATAAATTATCTCGACGAATGACACCATGTTCTAGTACGGAAGCTAGCTTTACATTTTTGTTGGTGGTTTCATGGGTTTCATATCAATTTTTTGTAATTGTAGTTTACACGTACATATACCTCTTAACACTTGTTTGCTTTATTAAAAAAGTGTGTTGTTGTGATTTACGTCGAAATAAGTCAAAAACAACTTGAAACCCCATATAAAATCAAAAAAGGAGAAACGGAAAAAAATTGAGCCTGTAAATGAACACAACTCAGAAACAAAAATAGCTATCTAATAATAAAAAAATAAAATTTGATTCTTGTGCAGCTTCATCTATATCATTAACTGTTTTTGGTTTTTTAATGGTTTTTCTTGGTGATGAAAATTCCGATATCTCACGGTTATCGATTCTTTTTCTCTCTCCAGAAATGCGGACGACAGTGTTTTTAGATACTCCTGTGGCTGTAGCAACACGATCATTTACATTTTTAAATGGTATTGAAGGTGAATTAAAGTTTCCTTCTCTTCTCATAAACTCTATAACATTGGCTATTATTTCGCGAGATTGACTGTTAATCACGCGGCCTCTTAATTTGCTATTAAACTCCATACTTAGGTTCTATTAAACTGTAATGAGCAAAAAACACAAACGAAAATAAAAGAAATGTTTTAGCGAAATTTACATCTGACATTTACGTCTGAATGAAATAGTGAAATACTTGATGCGCAGAGTGTACTTTCATTGCGTAAATCCGTCGGGATGCCTGTCAGTAGTGCTTTCTCTGTCTAGCCGTCGAAAGCCTCTAGAAATCTGATGAACTGTAGGTCAGGAAGGCATTCTTATACTACAGTGAAATACGACAATAACGTACAACAATGACATACGACAATGACGTTTGGCAATGACTAATGATCACATACGATAATGGACGAAGAGTATTTTGTTACCGTTTTATTAATAATCAACGACAATGAACGTAACGTATTTTTATTGAAAATTCAACTTGTAAGTAATAAGGAAACGACAATGATGTATGACTACAATAACAACATTGATTCCGAACGATACCTACGCGTTCTTCTTAAACTTATTCTCAATACTAAACTTTTGACTGCTACCTTTCCGTATTCATTGACATTTCTTCATTCAGAGAAGTAATGTCTCCTCTACTCCTTTGACTCCCTGGTTATTACAATTTCTGTACTAACCAACTATTACGGCCCCTTTGACAATGCAGCAGCGTATATTCTATGACTCTTTAAAAATTTCTACGATTTTCTATGTTTTCCATTCTTTTTTGTGATTTTCTATGAATTTCTACGAATATCACCCTTTCAACGTTTCACTCTTCCTCTTCAGCTTCTCTAGTAGTTTTTTGTTCTTCATCTTAGGCCTGTACTACTCTCTACATGATTTCGAAGTATTCTTCAGTGTTCCTCCAATGTTTGGGTATTTTTGGCTCCTCGTATCAATAAATTTTACATAAATTCAAGGTTGTCTATGATTTTCCATGGATTTCTTTGATTTTCTACGAATATCCAACTGTCTCTCCCCTTTTCAACGTTTCGTTCTCCCTCTTCAGTTTCAGCAGTGGTTTCTTCTTCATTATCTTAGGTATTCACTATTCTTTAGTGCTCCTCCAAAGTTTAGGCCTTTTTGGCTTCACTCTTCCTATCATTTTGACAGCTGCATCGCATTGTTGACAACGCTCTCCTCGATGTAATGCCAATTGAATTTATACGAATTTCTATGATTTTCGGGGTTATGATCGACAAGTAATGTTATTTTTAACAGACACGTTATTTGTGAACAGGTTGTTATTTCTGTGTGTTTGTAAAATAACAGACCTGTTAAAAATAACAGAGGTTGTCAATCATAACGCCCTTTATCTGTCTACGAGCATATATTTGTCTCCTTCCGTCTGCCTGTCCTTTATCTGTCTGTATTTCTTTCTGTCTATCTGTTTTTCCGTTTGTCTACCTAAGATCCTTTTGGCCATTTTACTATTTTTTCTCTTCAACGCATGTAATTTCCCCCCCACTCTCAGTCCCCCATATTATTCTACTTTAGCCTACTCTCCTCCCCAGCCTTCAGCTCTTCATATCTTCAGGCATCATGGCTTTTTGTATATGACACTTAGGTCTCCACTCATCCACCCCAGCCTCCAGTCGTTAGGCCTAAGCCACCTCTTTCTTTCTCTTCTCTTAGGCCATCCTCCAGTTCTTCATGTCGCCTGGCGTTAGGTTGGTTGGCTTACGGCCACGTCATAGGACTTTTCAACGCATGTAATTTCCCCCCCACTCCCCCGTTTTTTCTGTTTGATTATATTCAATGAAAGTTGAGACTTTTAGCATATGACAGGTAACACGTGGCGCTATCTCATGGTGACTTTTAGAAGTAGGGAGCTGCCATCTTGTATCATTTAGCCGTGTCGAATCACTGACATTGACAGGTAACGGGACGTCTCCCCACTCCCCATCCCTCCTGTCGCCGTTCTGAGGTAGCAGATGACAGGTTAGGTTGGCAAAGCTGTTGTTAGGTTGGCCAAAGGTAGACAACTCAGGTTTGACAGCTAACAATTTGCAACACTGGATTGGCAGCTACCAGTTGGCAACACAGGTTTAATAGCTGAAAGTTGGCAACACTGGTTTGACAGTTGACAACGCTGATTTGACAGCTGCCAGTTGGCAACGCTGGATTGACATCTGACATGACGGATGACAGTTGAAAGATACCAGCCGACATGATAGCTGTCATATGCCGTGCCTGCGCAGTGCTTGAAGTCAAAGGTCAAAGAGTGCTAGAGTGACCCATTAACTACTTTTTTGTCTTGTAAGCTTAAGATTATATTTTTCACTTCTATCTCAGTAGTTGCAGTAAAGAAAAGTGGTTTTTTTTGAGTCAAGGTATTATGTTGATTTAAATTTGTATTTTTTTTATTTTTGTGGCTGCTATTTGTATTTCAGTAGTTAATAACTCACCCGTGTCCGAATGTATCTTAAAAATGTTTTTCTGTTTTTTCTTTTTGTTGCAAATTTCTTTTACACATTCCCACAGTTTGTTGGTATCTTTTTTATTAACTCCACTTTTTTCTTGGTAATATTTTTGTTTAGACAACTTAATCATTTCATATAATTTATTCCTGTACTTTCTATACCTTTGCTTATTTATTTCAGTTGGATATTTTTGCATATGTTTAAAAGTTTGTTTTTTCTTGAATTGAGTTCAACAGACCTTCACTAATCCACTTTTTTTACTGTTTTTTTTTTATTTTTGTTTTATTTGTACAAATTTTAATGTGGTTTTCTAAAATTGTTAAAAAATTGTCTATGGTTTCATCAGGATTTTTAGTTAAACATACTTTATTCCAATTTTCAATGACTACACTAATTGTTTTATTTGGAAGTTTATCATCAAATATCATTTCTAAAAATTCCTAAACATTTTTGTTTAGACGATATCCTGCAGGTTTTCTAGAATGTCTTACTTTTTAAATTCAACATCTTCCGATTTTTTCTAACAACTATTTTATTATCTATGATATTTTTTTACTGACCTCGCTATCATTGCTGTGCAGATTGAGCACGTATCCGGGCAGCAAGTCCTTCCTGCTGTTGACGTCCTCGAGGGCGAGCCGGGCGGCGGGCATGCACGCCTGTCCGCCTTGCCATCCACCCTCGCCGGCTATGGGGAAGATGCCGCCGATGTGGAGCATGTTACCGCTATCACCGTATTCCGAATTCGTGGAGGTGTACGCGGAGCGCTTGCCGCGTCCAAAATCGAACGTGATGCACAGGAGAGTGATGAAGAGTTTCAATGGCGCGTTGTCGAGGCATGGCGGTAATGGCAAGTACTGAAATAAACAAAAAGTTGTTAGTACTGCAATGTGAAATAAAATGGACGAACAATAAGTTTATTTGCCATTATAATCATAAAAAAAAATTTACTTTATTTTCCTAGCTACAAAAATGTTAGATTATACAGTCCATCATAAAATACCTGAACCCAAATATCCCAACTAGCAAAATGAACTTTTAAACTAGCATTTCTTAATCTTTTGATCAATGGAACCTGCTTTTGTAGTAGGTATAGTCTCAATGCAATATTATATCTAGTACAGTATCAATGAAAATGGTACCAACTGCTTTTATGGAAATCATTCTAAACCTAAATTTTTTCGAAATATCGTATAGCGGGGTTATTTTAGAAATGCGGGGTAATTTTGGAAATTGTGTTTTTCTTATTTAATTTGTATTTAACTTCATCAAAAAAAAAAAAAAAATACGATTTCTTGATAAAATTTGTAATTAATATTAGTCGTGCAACCTATGTTTTAACCCAATTGTTATATATGGACAAATGCGTTCAAACAATTTTCGATTTCTCCAAATTCACTAGCGTCATCTATTGGGGCCAATTATACTTCCATAAGATAATACTATTACTATACTATTAGTAGTTCTTGCTTGCTTGTTTGGGGTTCTATGACTGCGGATTTTACATCCATTCGCCTATCTTTATTGTTTTTAGTACTTATTTTGGTTTTACAATGTTACAATGTTTTATTTTCATGTCATTCCTACTAACTAAAATTTGTAATATAAGTAAATTATATATTTTTTTTAAATCATATTTTTTAAATTCCTTTTTTTTTTTGTTTTTTTTCTCCCCAGAGGACAGGGACACATTTTACGCCTAAAGGTCTTTCTAGATAGTAGTTCTTTATACAATGATTGAGCCGACCCGAATTTAGATAAAAGGACACAGTTAACATGATTCTTTTTTCACTTTACTTTCTGTGATATTTTTCTCTTTTCAAAAACTTATAAAAATACACCAGACATTAAGAAAATATAATTGAAACCTAAGTACGGATAACACTTAAAAGAAAGAGACCTAAGTCGAAAGGAGAAAGTGACAAAAGAGGGTCAAAAGATGGAGAATTTGTATTCACTGTTTATGATTTCAATGGTATGTCGTTTTGGTAATCATATATTTTATTGTTCTACTGTATACAACCATTATAATTTTTCTATAAAAATTTGCTGATCAAGCAGAGTTGGCGCTTAGAAAAGTCTTAAATCGGAATAAATATTAACGGTTTATTAATGTCCTCTTAGCAAGTGTATTATTTTTATTGACAACTAAATAACATTACTTTTGTTACATTTAAATCGATCCAATTTTTACCTCTATTTGCAATATTTTTAATTAATTAATCATTGAGGTAAGGTTATATTAAAATTGAGGTCCTTTTGTCCATAACTAATAAGATGATATATTTAGCTACACTTTTATTTCATCCGTCTGTCGGTTGGCACCTAATTAGTCAGTTTTGTTGTTAATATGAAATTGTGGAGATAATTCTGTAGAAATTAAGGTAGTAATGGTGATAATAAATCGATTTAATGATATATGTCATATTTTTCGGTCCTAAAGACGAAAAATGTATAGAAATGCTTTTCTAAATATAACGAAAATAATCGGCATTCTTAAAATGATTAAATTTAGAAAAACTAATAGAATAATTTTGTTACAAAACGAGCTACAAACGAAATTAACAACATCATAGATAAATTAATATTAAAAGATAAACCGTTTAAATGCACGGCACTGGTAAAAAGTGGTTAGTCACAGTACTATTTGGAGCCACCATCGCAAATAAGATGGCAGCGATGTTGCCAGTTTCCATAAACTTTCAAAGCTGCACTTTATTTTGTTTTTGTCGTGCTCGATACCATCTTCTGTGATACCATCCATACAATAACCATACTATTTCTGGGTATCCAGTCAATTCGTCACGCGACAATTTATCGCGCGACCTTTCAGAGCCGACAATTCATCGCCACGACTTTTCATCGCTACGACAGTTTATCGGATATTTCTGGGATATTTTAAAGAGAGGTTTGACAACTGTGTTGATAACTTCATTAAAATATATCAAAAACCCTATAGAAAAAGAATAGTTTAATTATTTCGGCATTCTATAAATCACATTTTAAAATTATTTTACAATAATAAAGAACCAAGCAATTACTTTTCTTATATTGAGATAGTATTAGTTATGCTTTTTTGCGATATTATTAGATTTTAAACATTCCTAGGTTTTTATTGTTGATCTCAGAGCATTTTGGTTTAATAAAGATCACCTTAGTCATATCGCGTACATCAAATTTAAATAAAAATATATTAAAATGTACCTACTTGATTTAACAATTTTTTACAATAAAAAGAAGGCAGAACTTCAAATTAATGTCATATTGTACAAATCTTATATAGTCTGCTACCATTTTATAATGATGATAAGCAGTAAATTGAACTCATTTTCGTTTTTTGTATCTCCTGTAAAATTTAATGATTTGACAATTACGTCAATATTCCGTTACATGATTTTCCTCTTTACAGAAAAGCATTAGCTGTAACCGTTTACACCTAATTTTCATGCATCGCAAATATCGTATTTAACATTCCCAAGATGCGTTACTAACTAAAACTGCCATAACTTCGGCAGCTATGTGTATGTTAACCTCAAAGTGCTTCGAAACGACGCACGCCATATTGTTCGAGACGACAGCAACCGCTGCTTTCTAATTAAAGCCAACAAAACGTGAACGTAACGACTTAATTCGGCGCCTAAATACTCGTCCCGTGAATCCCCTATCCACCCACCCCTCGCCCTGCGACAGGTTCGAGCTTTTTGTTACTCATTTTCAGCGGCGAACGGTTGATTGCAAAACCACGAATAGCAATAATGGCTGACAGTTTCATAATTTCATTTTGGAGATTATATATTTGATTTAGGTACTTGGTTTCGATACAGACGTTATTGTGATTTGTTTAAGTGGTTTTTGGAATCAAATAAATATCAAGGATACTTAATGGATTCTATTTATTAATTAAATACACTATTCAACAGTAAATCTAACTAAACAATAGGATTAAAAGAAAATTACAATAAAGACGTCGTTTTTTAAACTTTAAAAAGTCTAACAATAAACCAATTAGGTTCACGATAGGTTTTAAAAATAATACAAGATATTGTGGTGGAATATTAGCCAAATCCAATGTCAGTCACAAATCCAAAGAGTATAATAGTAGGGATATCGTAGCTGCTATATTTTTGCTGTGAAAACACGGCTATGCTTGGTACAAAATAATAAGTATTGTATAAATATACCGTCGTCAAGGTGTCAAATTATTTTCCAAAAATCCCTGTCTACAGTTTGATTCGAACTTCGGACCCTCAAACCCTCAGACCAGAATCTAACCACAACGCCTCCCCAGCCTTCGTTACTCTAATTAATTAATCCCAGAACATAAATTGCGCTTTTGCTTTGTGTATTTAAGCGACATAAACGATTGCCATATAGTTTTCTCTTGCAGAAAACGCTAACTGCTCTAAATACTAATTGGAAACCGCGCGTGGCAATAATAACAACTTCATAATTTAATTTCGTCGGAATTTTGCGGGGATTGAGTCGTCGGAAAAGTTTTTATTAGATTTGCTTGGTCAAACAGCGCGACGCATATTTTTATCTCGAGCGACGTCGCTTCAAGCAGCAAATAAACGCAATTAAGAGGGTCTTTAGAAAAACTACTTGAAGAAATACGAATTGAAGTTAACTCAAGTGACTTCCTTTATATTTATCATGCAGATGTAATAGATGCTTGATGAACCTGCTGTTGTCTTCTTTACAAATACTATAGAGTGGATTTTTATGTGATTTTTATGAGATTTTTATTGAATTAATTTTTATTAAGGAATGCTTGAAAATGAGTAGTAAACATATTTTCTTGCTCATTTTTTTGCTTTTATAATGGTTTCTTCTTGATCGCAGTAGGAATAGTTATAGAAGATTATTTATTTTTGAATTCTTCGTTTTTCGTTTGACTTCTGTGCTATTTAAGCTTTGGTATGATGATAACAGGTACTTTAGTTTCAGACCATCTATTTCAAAGTGTTCTTTTTTTCTCAAATTGGACAAAGAATATTAGAAAGCCACACATAGTCCTAAAACTATACATAACACAATTTTCGATTGCATCGTTAAGAAGTTTTTGATTCCTGCACGTCTTTAACAGCAAACTTTATAATTAACTTGAAAAGTTTCTTTAAATATATATATACAACTGCATAGAAGTTAACAGTAATTAATGGAGTCGTCGAACAAACTGAAACTTTTTAATTGCGAGAATTTTAAAAGAAACAACTCCAGTTCGAGAGTCTGGATGGAGTCCAGAAAAAGAAGTCAAAATGGTTGGAAAAATAATTACAACTATTATTTTTTATTTCGTTTGCAGACGCTTTGAGCAGGGGTTTTGCTTGAAAAGAAGCTTAAGTTTATATAAACAGTAATTTATTTAAATTTTAAAATCAATAAGAGTTTAAACGTTGGAACAGAAAGTGGAAAAAAGCAATTAGCATTTATTTTAGGAACCTTTGCGACAAATTATAGTTTTTATTGATAAACAGATCCTTGTCATGTCCAATTTGCTTTAAGTAGATTTAACGCAATTAAGAAGAATCCATTCTGTTTAGCAATAAAACCTAAAGTGACTATCCTAAATCCAACACAAATAAACAGTTTAGAACGAAAATTTATTAGCGGTCTCTCTGCTATACTGTACGCTGTATACATCTTGCCAACCAACATCACTTAATTAAAAAAAGCAAGCATAGTAACTCTCTGTTATTGACTGCAAGTAAAATTATAGGATACAGAAAACAAATGGGTGCTCCAGTTCGGATAAAATCGTGTCCACAAATAAATCACTTGCTACTTTTCCAAAATCAGTTATTTTCCTCAATAAAACGAATTGCTATTTCAATTTGGGACAGATCGCAAGAAGCGG